CGTTAACAGTGTTTGCATTGGGAATGGTATAGGTTCATCTCGTGAACAGTGTTTACATTGGGAATGGTATGGGTTCATCTCGTGAACAGTGTTTGCATTGGGAATGGCATGGATTCATCTTGTGAACAGTGTTTGCATTGGGAATGGCATGGATTCATCTTGTGAACAGTGTTTGCATTGGGAATGGCATGGATTCATCTTGTGAACAGTGTTTGCATTGGGAATGGCATGGATTCATCTTGTGAACAGTGTTTTCATTGGGAATGGTATTGTGTTTTATTGAGTACTTAATTGACACATTGTGTTTTTTTAAAGGAAATCTCCACAATAATGAGATCGCAAATAGAACATGTGGTGACGTCACATGACCTTGTTCAGATGAATATACCTGGATTTGATGAAATACGCAAAGATAATTACTTTGTTTCATTATTGGAACAGGAAATAGCTACAAGTAAGTTAGAATGTAAATTGATGTTATTGTATATTCCGCGTAAGTTAAGCCTACCGACGTATGTCACGGGGAATCGTGTTCGCTCAACATGGATTTGGATTTACTGCTATCTTGATTTCATGTCCACATTTGTGAACCAAATTTTTTAATCCTGTACCTAAATATCGCTATCGCTGTAAGGGCAGAAGTCAGTAAGGTTGTCCCTTCGCGATCATTCGTTTATAGCAATGTATTACAATGACCATTATAGTCAGTAAGCATACTACTCAGGACATTAGTTTGTGCCTGAATTACAATGACCACTGAGGGCAATAGTCTGTAAAGCCACCCTGACACTCGCACGACTTTTGGCCACGATGTTGTTGTGGCAAGTCGTGCCATTTTGGGGCACGAACTGGGAGGCTCCCGCACTGTTCACGAACAGTTCGCGAAATGTTGTCGTGACCAAAATTTTTTGAACATTTCAAAATTCTCGTCCCGACATGGCAAGCAGTCACGACGGGTTTACGCACACTTCACGCCAGTTTACGACTAGTTTGTGCACTGGTACGACTCGAGTCGTGCCAATGCGTGCCACAGAATCGTGCAAATGTCAGGGTGGCTTAAAGGGTGGCAGTCGTCTTGCCGCGTCCTGTTCGATATGGGACTCATAGCGACGTATACAACGCGTGTAAAATACATTGTTCATTTACATGAAATTCGAACACGCGCTGCGCGACGACCACCGCTCTTTAAGAATGCAACTGATATTGAACCAAACGTATTCACTTGAATTCATCATCATATAGATATGTATTCATTATGCAATCGTAGCTGACCTATGACCCTTGCATTTCAAAAAAAAACAATTTCATGTAATAATGTCTTTCCTTATGTTCACAGAAGCGGAATTATTTGTTGGCTGTGCGAAATCGTCATGGACGCAAGTAGTGACGTACAGTCGGAATGTTAACAACAAAAAAACAGTGTTTTTACGTGATTTACCTGGAATACCCAAATCCGACTATAAATTTATATAACTTAAACTTCATCGAGTTTCTCATCATGTATATTTGTTTTTTCGGGAAGAAAATCCAAATTGAGTTGCGACATTGTATTCATATAAACAAATATGAAGTCAAATTCTTGTCTGAATTTCAACAGTGATGTAGAAATGTGGAGATTAGTATTTACAACAAATTGGAAACTTTTGCAGTGTTTAAATTATTTAGAAACTTATCTGTGTTTAACTTCAGACAACTATTAGTTGTCTGAGGTCTAACAATGAATTCTATTTTCAAACGCCCTCTCACATCCTTCCGTACGTCAAGCCATTGTGTGAACATTCAGCACGGGATGATTAAAGACTATAGATTTGTAATTCTCGTAGTCTAGTAACAGAAAAAAGCGATGAGCACGTTAAATGATTTAGTTGTTTTAGTATTCTTTTTTTTTCACAGCACTGTACGTACAGATGTATTTATAAAATATATTTTTTTTCTTATCTTTTTGCACAAAGTGTCAGAGGACTACAGTGCTTGTATAAATAAACTGTATATAATAATACTAGTCTCAACGGTAGTACGTTGTTTCAGGGTTGGCAAAGTTTGAGGGAGCAATAGAACTAGCACGCCCGTGAACAATCGTTGCACTGATAAGGTCGAATGAATTACGCCCTCTACCGGCGTATATAATTGTGTTTGCATAACGGGATACCAAGGGATTAGCATGTGACAATATTGGAGATATGTAATTTAACGGTGCAATCGCTATTATTATTGCGCGCATCGCATCGCATAATATAATAGTCTGTCCAAAAAAATCACATCTATAAAAAGAGAACACGCAAGTAAAACCTAATAAAATTGACAGTTATATGTTTTGTTCCTGTAAGACTAGATGGTGGATTGAGAAAGGTATGCAATTCCTAATGCTTTGACAGGAATATTGGAATACACGTTTACCGTATGATTTATTCTTGGCTCGTGCTTTCGTCAATGTACGATTGTCTAATAGTGACCATAATTGTCTAGCAGAATGGTATTTATGTGAAAGATCTGACAGATACCGTATATTCGATGATAAGCTATCGCAATAATCAACTTGAAAACGAGATAGTATGAGAACAAAGGTTTATTTTAATGAAAGTGCAATTAACGGAGTGATTAAAGTTCAATTAACTTACTCAATGAATATGTACACTTATCGTATTGTCGGTTATTCATTGGAATCTTCAAAAAAAAAATACCAAAAATGACAATCTATTGCGAGCTTGGACTGTTACATTCAAAATCAAATAGTCAAATATTTTAATCGATTTTTTTTAAATCAAAGCACTTTCTTCTCAATAAAGCATTTCAGGCAAAACTCTTAATATCAACTGGTTTGTAAAAACTACAAATTTTGAAAAAAGTTGACCAAACTAACATTATAATTTGTGAACAAATTATAACATCAAGTACAAATTACATTTATAATAAATTTAAACAATGATTCAGGATACAGTAACAAAGGGAGTTAAATGATGACTACGGCCAAATAATATTAAAAATAAACTCAGGATATACAGAGAATTCAAAACTAGCATCAAATTAGAAAGTTGTCTTATGACTATCAATACTACGTGGAGGCTTAACAAAATTTAAGAGTAGCAATCAAATTGAAATTGGTCGTCACTGTAAAATTTCTCAGGCTGTTGACGATAAATAAACAAATAGAAGACAAAAAAATATTTTATGATGTTCTGTATAGAGGGGAGAGGGCTAGTACAGTTTTACGGGAAATAAAAAGGGCTTTTTACAATTTACAAGGTAAAAAAACGTTTTTACAGTTTACAGTGAAAATTGAATGTTTACAGTTTACAGAGAAAATAAAGGTTATTTCACATTTTACGGAAGATTAAAAAAGAAAACCTAGAAAATTCTTGTACGTACTGAGCAAAATGACACATTTTTACAGTGTACGAACAAAATATTTGATTGATTACGTTGTACGTTTAGCCTGATTACACAATTACCGAATTTATTTTTTCAATTTACGTTGTACGAACAAAAAAATATTGCAATTACGTTGAACGAAATTAACCCTTGCCCCCTCTGTATACAGTTCTACCAAGTGAACAAGGAAATGAGTCTTACTCATTGAAACAGAGAAGCATGTTTTATATAATTTTTTAGTGACTGAAGGATAAAAATGACAAATTTATTGTTATTGTGCAAAATAAGAATGTGTCCATCCCTCTTGCCAAGTATTTATTAATAAATACTTGTTTTGAAATAAGACAACAACACCTACCTATCTAATATTTTCATTCTGTTAAAATCTGGAATTTAGAATTGTTGAGTTTTTTGTTTGTTTGTATTCTCCTATTTATAATTCTTGTCAACCCCCCCCCCCCGAGGATTGTTATGGGTTATTAACGACTACCGCAATCAATAAACTGTTTATAATTGCGTTTTCTCTTTCATCCGATGGTGACCAGATACTTCAGCCGATATGGGGCCCGGTCTTCGACGTTATCCGAGATACCAGGGTACAGTATTACCGCTGCTTACCCGTCCACTGACATGCTTATAGTGCGCGCCGGCATTCAACTAGTTAAAGCACATTGAATAAAGGTAAAAAGGCGGAAAGGGGGTATTTTTGTAACACTTAGGATGTCCGCAAAACCCGCAAATATTTTTTTTTCAATAGACAGATTTCGGGTAAATGCAAAAAAAAAAAAAAAATGGTTTGTTAGGTCCGTCTGGAAAAATGGTATCGTACGCATATCATCTGTGAATTACTGGGCGGTGTATCCAACGCTGGCCTGGTGCAAATAAGGGAAATTATTGTTTACGTATCAATGAAACTAATGATTGGCGAACACAATGAAACAACATATCTATATTTACCTGAGCTGATCACGTGATGGTTAGTTGCGTTTCATTTCTTTCTCTTTTCACGTAACTTATAAAAGGTTGGATAATTGAATAACATTCCGATTATTTCACAAAGATTAAAGACATCATTAATTGCCCGCAATAAACATCACGTGCAACAAGAAGAGAAAAACAATCTGGTTAAAATAGATTGAAAATATTTATTACATTAATATTATTTGATATCAAAAAGACTGTTAACCTGACAGGATCTTTTACGTACACCATGTGGATGTGGCACATCCGGGGTACTATTCTCATTAACAGCTACCAAGTCAAACATTACTGCGACAACAGCTGCAATGACGTCATCGTATGAAAGGAATCGGAATTTAATTGATGTATTACACACTCGCACTTGTTTGATATTAATATTCAGTTTCCCGTCTATAGAACGTGGTCGATGTTTTAGAGCAATGTACACAGTCAGGCTCGTATAAATAACTATTAAAAACTATTACGTGTAACAAATTAATTGCTTTCATACAATTCGACAATATAGGTTCGCATACTAACGTAAAATTGTTTAGGTGAACTCTTTTACGTATTTTGAGACAGGTAATTGTTCTTTCACTACGTTTTTGACTGACGTGATTTGACTGGGCATGCGCAGAAAACTTTCTGGGTTGTGTTTCTCCTGTTCCAAGATGGCGATGTGTCATCTTCTTCAACTTCTCAGTATATCATTGTTGTTGTCCGTTAAGGTAGGTATCTCTGTTCAGAATTGCATCTGTTCATATATTCAGTAGACATGCTGCTTCTAACGTCAGAGATTTCACAGGATAGCGATCTCAACTGACTCTTAACCGTGTATGATCGCGTCAGAAAACGTGTTAACACTGGTATCTCCAGTGAGATTAAAAACGTAAACAAATAGACAACTGTTTGGACAGTGTGACATAACGTATATGACATTGGTGTTAAGGTATGTACAACGAGTATGTATCGATCTGCAATCCGTGTTCGTTGACCCGGAGTTACAAATACTGAGTTGGGAATGTTAGTTGACTAACAGGTTAGTCGAGAGTCACGGCAGTTGTTCGCTTCTTTTCTGTTCTGTTCAGATCAGTTATGACATTAGATATCCGTAAACAATAAGTATCCTTCTAGTTCATCTGTCCAAAATAATATGTAATTTTGGATACCAGTTTTGGTAAATGTATTTACATTTTCTTCCAGAAAAGTACTCTTTACACTTTTCAAATGGCAATATTAAATTTAATTTTTCATTGATTAGTCTATTCATAAAGATTTACATATTTTGTATTTGGATTATATTATATTTCTAAAAATTATAGGAGTTTGAAAATTGAAGGCAGACCTCAAATGAGTGAAAGGGGCCTAACAATGCTGTAAGCCATTTCATTTTCACTGCTAGAAATATTTGTACTACCCTGATCAACTATGTAGGTTTCATATATTGAGAGAGTGACAGTGTGTAGTCAACTTGAAAATAAGATGTGGGTTTGGGGCTTGTTTTTGTTTTATAAAAAATGCGAAAAATAATTTGAGTATACATGTTTTTGTTTATATTACTATTACAGTAGTCTATATAATTATGTTAAACACCATTTATTATAGTTATTAAACATTAATAGTTTAATAACAATAGGTTCTTTGTTTACACTAGTGAGAAGATAAGAAAGTTGTCCATGCTTTTGACTAAATGTTGGAAATTTGTTAGTCCAAAAAAGGTTTATGCTTCTCATCATCGCATGTTATTTTGAAACCTGTGTCGCACAATTTGCAATTTTGCGTACCGGTGAAGTGCACCACATATGGTAGGATAGGGAAATGTGACGATGTTTTGTTGCTTCAAATCGACCTGTAATGCAATATTCAAAAACATTATTTAATAAATGTAAAAGTATTTAACTTGTATCTTGTTATTGTAGTTGTTGTTTTCTATACACACCCGTAATCTGTGCTAGGTTTATTTTCATGGCATTGAAATGATAATTGTTCAAAGTGTTTCCAAGTAACTGTTAAAAGGATTTCATCATGAGTTTTAGACTATGAGCAATGCCAGAAATAACGTTCATGCAAATTGCTCATTTTTGTCTTTGGTCCTGTCGGCACCATTTTAGTAGAGGTATTTTAAGTACCATAGCAACCACTAAATCCAATTCTTCTCGCGTATCACAGAAATAACATAGCCTCTCTGATTTGGGGGAAAAATGGACAAAACAGAAGTAGTCCTGTCGAGAGTAAAAACTAGTAATTTATCCGTACATTCTAATGTCATCGCTTTAAACATTAATAATTGCAAGAGAACAAAACCACACAAGATAAAAACTGTTATTTATAACAATAGACAAGAAGTTTGCAACTATTTTCTGGTTTGTTTATTTCTCTAATTTAAATAGAAAAATTAAAAATCACATATTTTCAATAAAAATAAGAATACACTCACAGGTAATGAGAAGCAGTAACAAGTTTCGTAATATTTACTGTCATAACTACCAGTAAATGTGAAATAAAAGTTTGAAAAAAAAGTGGGTCTCATCATTAGATACCTGGTTATATTTAAGAATTACTAAGAACTTTGATTACCAACTGCCTATTTGTTATATTTATGGCTTGTTGCAGTGTTCACCAATATTTACACTATATAGGTGTCTAATTCAATTTATTGAAAGCTCACACACTTACCAAATGATCACTGTATCGCTTTATTGATAGTTCAGCAATCTATGTCACAGACATTCTTGTAAAGATCACTGACCACATCATGTTACCTACATGTGTACTTATGCACAGAACTACCCTAAAAATCCAAAATTCCCCTCCTACAAATATTTCATCATTTAATTATTGGCTTCAAAATTACAAGTGATCATAGAAATATGCTTTTTTTGGCTCTCGAAAATGTTATGCTTATGTGATAAAAATGTAATTACTACCGTCACCCACAAAATAATTATCATTTACTACGTGTACAGGCAATAACTAATAAATACATAATAGACACAGATAATTGTAATGACCACATGCTTTGTTATTATATTCTTGTAGATATGAATAGAATATAAATATTACTGTATTGGATGTCATTAATTATTTTGTCATTTTTGTTATTACTTTGCCTATCTCATCTAGATGAAGGGGAATGTATATGAGGGGAAAATGTTGGTCCTCGTTGGTGTTGCTGTGCTTAATCATGGCATTTGTCAGCACTGGGATGTGTCAATAAATTCAGAAAATGTTTCAAAATATATTTCAAGATCATATGGTTATGATTACTTATTGTACCATTGATTATTTTGAAAACATCATTTTGCACTATTTTTTTTATAATAAATTGATCTGGGAGCTGTATGTAAGTATGGTTACAGAGAAACTGATGTCACAGAGTGTAGTGTAATTAATTGAAAATAAATGCATGGTTAAAGTCGTATTCATTTAGTGTCTATGTTGTATCCTTCACACTTCATGTAACCTTCAATTCTACCTGTAGTGTATATATATCATATACCTATGATATAACCCATCTATCTAGTAGCTGGTGGTAGTCAATGGGCAAGGTTTTAATAGTTACGCTATGTTTATTTCTAACCTGCACATAGAATGATTTATGTCATGTGATTCTACAGTAATTGAAGCTTACATAGCCTAGTTTTCACCATACTGTGTGTACCATAGTCAAACATTTATAGTAACATTACATTACCACAGTAGTTACTCCGTTGTCTGATAAATACAACTGTAGATAATAGATTCACTTAACGAATCAAATTATTTCTATGAACCTTCAATGGCTGGAATTCATTAATATTAGATAATTAAAAAGTGTAACATTTTGATGAGTAAATTAGAAAATAGTGAACGCTACTTCCCAGCAGACACTAGTGTTCAGTATTTTATTGTATCATATAGGCTTTGTTTAATACATTAACAATAATGTTTATTCGGATACAATATTTCACCAACTCAAATGTATACAAATGTAAGTAAACTATATCTAAGAGCACTGCAAAAAAAAATATGATACTAAATAAAACTATCAATAACTGTCACTCTACTGTAACCATGCGTTCATGGCAAACAAAATATAGTTGACTAAATTGCTCACAATTGACATGTGCAATCGTAACAAATGTATAACTTAAAAAGTTGGAATAGTGTGGTAATATTTGGAGAGATGTTTTGGTTTTAACTCATTGTACAGTTGACAAATCAACAGAATTGCTACTCATTATCAGTATAATTATTGTCAGAAAATTGATACGATCAATAATCTATTTCTATCTGAATAAATCTTTAAAAAATTAGCTACAAAATGGAATGTTGTCAATCTGTTTCCAAAACACTCCTTTTTGAACAACTGAGAAATGATATTCTGTGGCAAAAATTCAATTTTAGTTGATGATGTGTATCTAACTTAGGATAAAGTTGAATACACGGCAGTAACTCCTGAATATAAAATAATGTTCTGACTCGGTTTTTTGATGAAAGATATAAAAATGTCAGTTTCATTCAGTGCCTTGATTAAACAGAGTGGAATCTCAGTCTCCTCTACCACATGATACATTGTATACCATACTTGTTTCCCCAAATATGCTCAAAATTTGTTTTAATAAATCTTTTGTTGTTTGCATTGCTAATTGGTTTTGTGCTACACTTCGCAAACCTGAACTAAAGAAGTGTATGCCAAGGTATTACAAATGTAATCCTCATTACATAGGGCAGTTAAAAACTTGAAACATAAACAACAACCACGTATTTATTTTCTCTTAAGGATG